TTATAGAAAGCAGATTGCTACATTTTTCTTTCTTGAAGCCACTGTCGAGTTTGAACCATTGACCTTTCAGTTAGCAGTCAAGGACTTAACCATTGTGCCATTAGGGTTCCTTTCAGTGTCTACTACTTATCTCCAAAAGAAGTACTTTCAACTTTACTATGGATTTGATTGACAGAATAATCTGAAATGGATGGTGGGTGCGAATAAATGTGGTGATCCAGTGGATTGGCTCAGTGAACTTCCTGATTCTTCATCTTCCTGGTCATAATTGGTCCTGGAATTTGAACTTGAAATCTATTTTCACAGACTCTCACTGAGTCTGTGAGCAAAGTATACTGTTTTAATAAATCTTTTTCCATTTGAACCAGCTAGAAAGGTTTTTATTGTCTACAACTAAGATTGCTGGCTGATACATTTTAAATTTTAACAAAAGGACAATCAAATTATTTAGAGTGAAATGTCAACATACAAGATGATGATACTGACCTATACTTGGTAGAGAAAAGGCTTTGAGTTGCTTTTCTAGAAATGTGGAAAGATTCGTGCAAATCTATTAATTTGTTTAGCAGGAATTAACATTGCATGCATTATATTTCAATAGAGTGACTTGCTTACCTTTCTTCAGTGCTACTGAGCAGTGGATGACCCCAACTTGGTGTAGCTCCCTCTTCCTCTATAAATTTGAGAACCTTCAGGCAGGAATGCTAAGCTTCTTCATGCCCCCTCTATTAAACAAACAGGCACATTGTTCTGATGTTGGTGGGTTGCTTTTGGTGCAAAGGAAAGAAGAGACAAGTAAGCTACTCTTTTAAAAAACTACCTATATGATCAATATCACTCAACAGTCAATAGAAAGGTCTATTTGAATACTTTTGCCCATTTTCTTAATTTTCCTGAACCGTTCACACTTTCATCCTACTTTGGTGAGTAGCAACTGGAATCTTGAAAGCTTGGAGCAGCTGTCTAATGTGTAACTTAGTTTCTCCCCGTCTGGAGCAAAGAGAGTGAAGAAAATCAAAGATGCAGGAAACAATTAGTCCAAAGGACTAATGGAGCGTGTGAACTCCAGCTTCCATGACCCTGTGATCAGAGCTAGATGATGCCTGGCTATCACTGCTGCCTAATCTGAGAGGGATCACAATAAGAAGTCCTGGATAGAGTGGGAGAAAATGTGGAACAAAACTCAAAATCATAAAAAGACCAGGCTTACTGGTCTGATGAAAACTAGTGGAACCTCTGAGACTAATGGCCCATAGATACCCTTCAATCTAGCAACTGAATTTAACACCCATCAAGATTGCAGTAAGTGTCACAAAACAGAATGTGTATGGATTGTTGAATAGAAAAACCAATTTCCTCTGTAAATTTTCACTCGAATCACAATGCAAAAAAAAAAAAAATCATTTGAGGATGGGAATAAAAATCAATTAAAACAGTGGATCTGTTTAAGTCATTTATTTCAACACAGGCATTGTTTAAAATTTCACCTTGTCTTGTAACACATCCCATATCTAGGGAACAGGTTTGAGAACAACTACATGAAAGTACTATTTGACAAAGTTTTAACAAAAGTGCATAAGGCTTGTTGCTTCAGAAATATAGAATTGCCAGTCACAAAGAGCCACTAAAGTGGCAATATATCCACTAAGTTGGACTGTAAAATATTTACGTATTTACATTGTACATTTAAATAGAATACTCTGAAACATTATTACTAGTATTAACATTATACTATTTGAATACAATATACTATTTGAATACTTTACCATAAAAACCGTAAAAATAGCTCTTTAACCCTCTGGCATTCAACAGAGAATTTTCTAATTTGACTCCCATCTTTTCACCATAACCAAGTAGACTTTCTTCCACTATGTCCAGCACAGGCACATATTTATGTCATACACAAAGTAGTTTTATCAGCATATATTTATTAGTAGCGGTTGTTTTATTAATATCAATGCATTTATAATGTAAGGGTAAATTATTCCAGGAGCAGTCTCAAAAAATTAAAATAATGTCATTAAACTTTATTTGAAATGTACTTTATAGTGTAAAATTTATGGTGATGGAAGTGTATTATTTACACTAGTTAATTTTACAAAGTATTAGTATTTATCCCTCATGATTTACTCCATTTATGTGAATATTTATTTATTTCAATAATGATTGTATCTTTTAGAAAACAAGTTATGACTATAAAAATGATGATTATAAATTACCATAGCTATAACAAAAAGTGAGCATTAAAAAAGCAGCAGTTTGTATGTTAAAATACATAGAAATTTGCTACACTTCTTTAACGAAGTGCTTTATAAAAAATATAAAACTATAAACCAAACTCACTGTCTTCAAGTTGATTCCGACTCATAGTGACCCCCTTTGAGTTTCTGAGGTGGTAAATCTTTACGGAAGTAGATTGTCCTATCTTCCATCCATGGAATGGCTGGTGAGTTTGAACCACCAAACTTCAGGTTAGCTTTAGGCATCATGCCACCAGAGCTCCTTATAGAAGGTGCTGTTTTCTTGAATTTTCTGTTTTCTTGATTCTCAAACCAGATCAGCAAACAAACATTACAAATGGTGCAGTTGAGCACTGGCCATCTATTACCTTTGAATTAGACAGTAGATTCCAATGAATCTGATACACTCACTGAAAAATAAGCCAACTTCATTTCACCTTTTGTAGCTTATCTGTAGACTCAGAGTATTTACTGAAATAGAACTTGCAAGCTGATCATTAAAAAACCAAGCATCTTAATATTAAACTACTAAATCTGAAGACCTTAAAGCTACATTTAAAATATAGGCCAAGTTTATGAAAATTTACTTAAATAATCAGATAAATAGAAAAAAAAAAAAAAAGGCAAGGGTGGAATTTACAAACATACATAAAACAAAGAATAAAACATTATTTATTCTTTACTATAAAAATGTGAATTTAAAATAGTTTAGAATAGTTGATTTAAAATTCTATTGTCAGTCTCTTCAAGCTCAAGATCAGTCAGAGCATGAAGTTTCAGATAACTTATAGATTTAAGGAATAGCTTTCATGTTAGTTACTACATCTTCATTTATTCTGAGTTTCATGGGAATGATGTAAACTAACCCTGGCATTTTGCTTCTAGGCAAGGCAATGATTAGTAGGATAATAATAATACAGTGCTTTCTTTCATTCCTATCGGTTCCAGATCTCTATACACTTCAATAACATCTATCATTATCCTTAATTTATACGGATGAAACAGATGAGACATATGAAAAATAAAATTAGGTCAGAAAGCAAATATAATCCAAAAAATATGAAATCCATTCAAGTTGCCTCTAACAGTACTGAGAGCCAGGATGGGATGTTTTTATAGTTCTAGCAAATTATCTTCATCACTATCTATTGGTCTTTACCCTGAATTAAAAAAGAGAAATCCCCAACAGTTCTGCATGACACCTAAAGAATAACAAAAGCCACATTCTTGGTGGGTACCAAAAGTTAATCAGGCTAGAGAAATTATTGAAGAAAAAATTCCTTGTGACTAGCCCTTTGGAACTCTGTCTTAGAATTTCCCAAAGGTTTGATAAAGGGTGCTGTAGAGTAGCCTGTGAAACCCAGGGCGTCAGATCTGATTTGGCTGCATTTTAGGGAGTTGGCCAGGCTCCCACTTGACACTTGACTACAATGCCCCACCTGGAAAGAAGTATTACAATCCTTCCGACAGATAAAGAGAATGCGGAAATATATATTGTTGTTGCATGCCATTGCATTGATTTTGACTCAGGGACTCATAGGACTGAGTAGAACTGCCCCCCATAGGATTTCCTAGGCAGTAATCATTATAGGGGGAGCTCTGGTAGCATAGTGCCTAAGGCATTTGACTGCTCACCAGAAGGCTGGCGGTTCAAACCCACCAGCCACTCCTTGGAAGGAAGGTTGGGAGTGATACTGCCTCGGAAACCCAAGGAGGGGTTGCTGTGAGTCGGGGCCGACTCGACGGCACATGACAACAACAACAACAACGATCTTTATAGAAGCAGACCAACACATATTCCTCACACAGAGTGGCTGAAGGGTTCAAGCCACTAATCTTTTGGTTATAGCCAAGTGCTTAACCACTGTACCACCAGGGCCCCTGGGGAAATGGATAGTTCTGAGAAAATGGGAAAAACCAATTGATGAGAAAGTCTGCAGTAAAGCTAAATTAGTCTCATGAAGAGATATTTACACATCTCCACCCCTCAGTTATGTTCTCTTCATAAGCAAAAATTCTGTGGCTCAGTCACTATATGCAGTCAGGTTTTCTGGCCTAAGTCCTTGGCTTTATTAAAAGTCAGCCCTCAACAATTTAGTCAATCCCCACAAACTATTTCAGAGGAATTCCTAGGTATATTAATAGTATTGGCTAGCTAGGGATTCAGTTTTTCACCTGTTTCTTCAACATGTGCTTGAAACTCATGCCTCCCTGGCTCTACTATGGATATAACAGAATGTTCTTAATAAAAATCCCCTTATCTTTGTTTGAAAGAAAAAAACAAAGCAAAACAAAACTCTAAACCTCCTAGATGTCACGAGTCAAACAGAATGATTATATTTACTCTATCGTTATTTAATGTCACGAGCGTAGGGTGTGAATGGGAAGAGGCAATATAGAGTTTTGTGTTGGGTGATTAACAAGTTTTGTATGTGCCCAAGATTTTAGGATTTCATTTTATACAATGAAAGGTGTAAAGATGGTAGGGAGAAAAGAAGGCACAAAGCCAAATTTGGACAGTGCATTAGAGATTAAGTTGGAGGAGAAATAAAGGAAGGCCAAGGACAGAAAACAGCAAAGAATCTATTAAAAGAGCATTCATTGTACAATTCAGGAATGAATATGCAGAGTATGGAAAGAAAAAGAAAAGGGAAATTGTGTTGTTTGAGAGCAGGCTGTGCCTAGACTAGATCTTTTACATACACATTTATACTTTATTACAACTTTGGTGAAAAGGTTATTCCTTTTATTTAAAAAACTTCACAGTTCTGACTCCTTGTCTTTTTCATCCAGGTAATATTCATCATCTGTGGTTGTGTCTGTGTCACAATCTGAGTCCACTGGGTCCTCCTCGTAGATATTAAGTGGTTCAATAGGAGCTAAGCCATCTTCTGGCATCTGACTGCTAGGAGAATTTGAGCTTAACGACTCTGATGGGTTGGGATGGTTAACTTTATCATCTTTCAGGAAGCCAGGGTTCTTAAGAAAACTTGGTTTCCATAATCTTCCTTGTGTGAGTGACCTCTTTACATTTTCCAAGAAAGCCAATTGTTGTTCTTTGCCAAAAATTCCATAGTCAATAGGTCTGGATATAGATGTTGCTGACTTGGGACTTGTTTTTGTCCTGTCACTATACAAAGCCCAACTCTCATTTTCATCACAGGGGGGAAATTCAGAAAAAGATTTGAATCTTCGACTGTCCACATTATTGATAGAGAATTCATTCCCAAGGGTCAGCTGACTCAGGGCCTCGTCAATAGAAGTGTTTTCAGAAAAATGGCGCTCCCTAACTTTTGGAGCATGACTTTTGCGTAGTTTATCACCATGTACATTGATACTTTTCAAACTCTTTGAACGATAGAGCGGTGGCTCAGGTTCCCACCCTGGAGCTGAAACGCTCCTTTGTTGCTGCTGACAATTGGCCAGTGGAATGCTTGATGTAGGAGACTTGCATGCAGGCTCTAGTGGATGAGGAGGGTTCAACTTCTTCTGATGGTCAGAGAACCTTGCTTCCCTGAGGAATGTGGGCTGGACCAGAGCTCCTGACTTTCTTTCCAAAGTCTGAGCTACTGTTACATCTGTAGAGTTTCCATTCTTTGGTGGTGACTCTGAGATGTTCTTAAATTCATTGCAACGTGGTTGTGAAATAGTGATGTTAGACTTCTGATCACTTACATGTGTAGAAGGTCCTCTGTTGGATATTATAGTAACCTGTGAAAGGGTCTCAAATTTCTCCACACCCAATCCATCATTACTCAAACTTCTGTTTTCATCTGTGGACTCTGCACACATTGGAGTGGGCTCAGGGGCCAGTGGATCGCTCTCTGGTGTGCTGGGAGCTAAACTTCCAGTACTAGACCTGCTTCCACTGTTGGTGAAAATAGTAGCTACATGTCTTCTGGGGCTTAAATCTTTAGCTGGGAATTTTCTGCTTGCTTTGGACATGGCAGTCAATTTGTGTTTAACTGAAGATCTGTTTTTCCCTTTTTCCAGGTCATCGAAAGTGGTTTTATTTTCATTATTCCCTCCAGGAAGTGACCGTTGATCCCGTATTAATTTCTGTATTTCATCTTTAACATTCCTGCTGTCTGTCATGTTTGCCTCCTGCCTTCTTTGAGTTATTTCTTTAGGTTTAGACTGCAAATTCTCTACATCTGGTTTACCTGAATAAGACTCCTTATCAAATCGTAGTTTATGCAAACCTAGAGTAACAGCTTGGTTTTCTGAGTCAGGAAGGGTTTTATCGGTCATTTGTTGGCAATCTGTTCCAATTTCTGCTCCAACTTCCTTAACCTGCAACCCCCTGGAGCTATCATCTATAGCTGTGGCTGTGATGATCTCTTTCTGAGGACATTTTCCACTTCCAATAGATGTGGTAACTATACCACTACCCACACTCTCCTCAGAACTTCTTACAATTTTTTCAACATTATCTTCTGAATGGGCCGGGAGATTAGAGGGATCAACATTTCCTGATTTAATGGATTGTTGACAATTTTCCAATTTCTCTTCTGTCAATTTCTTTTCCCGAAACATTAATGAAATATGCAGGCGTTCTCTTTGGAATTTTTTCCCTTTCTTTTTCCTACTTCGTGAATTACCTAGAGGTGATTTAGTAAAGTGATCTGGAAAAACCTCCCTCGTTTTAGATTCTCCTTTAGGAAGAGAATCGTCTATCTCAACGGAAGCCATTTCTTGTTCTATAGATTCCGAGGAGCCACTATTTGGGAATTGTAAAACAGTCACATTTTCAGTGGTGTGAGAAAGACAAGGGCTGTTGTCCTGAACAGAATTAGTCAGCATCTTTCGATCTTTAGATGAAGGTGCTCCTGACGGCTCTTGTGAAGAATAATTTGGTTTGTCATTTTGTGAAACATTAGGAAATGTTTCAATGCCCACTCCGAGTGATTCTGTAAGTGAATCAGTATTTTGTGTATACTTTTGAAGGAGGTTACAGAATTTTCTGCTTTGTTTCCTTGGCAGAGTATAATATATTGAAACCACCTCAAGGCATTTTATATTATCATCATCACCAGAAACGGAAAACATGCTAGTAGTTTTATATTTATGTACTGTTTTCCCACCTTCCTTTCCTAACGCTTCTGAAGAAAAAGGTAAAGGGTCTTCATTTGAACAGGAGAACATATCTGTTCTGGGGGCTGCAATTTTACCATCCTCCTCAGTGCATTCTTGAGAATATTCTTTTGGGTGGTGGCTTTTACTTAAAGAACAATCCCTAACAGATAAGTCACTTTCCAGAGGGTTAATGATTCTCTCCCAAGGCCTTGGTGATACCGCAGAAGCATATGTATCTGAACATTTTCCTCTTTCATCATTTTCAATTGAGGAATATGGCTCCCCTGGAGGACATGACACAGTCCTCTTGATGAGGAAAGGAAGTGGTCCTTCTCGAACAGAAGCCGATCCAATGAATTGTGTATTTGTCATTCTCTCTGTGGCTGCAGGTGCTACTGGAGCTGAGTCTGAAACTACTTTGGAACATTCACTTTCTGACTCAGGGGAACTGGGACTGAATTTGTTTGATGTGTACTTCCTGATTGGATCTTCCATGTTATTTTTGATTTGGAATGGAAGTGGCCCATTCCTAAATGAAGCTGTTGTATTACTTTCTGAGTTCCATCTATTGAAGAGAAAACTAGGCGATTTTCTTGGTAAGGTACAGTAAATTGTGTAAGGCTCAGGAGCCTCAGAATTGCCTTGATTCACTTCATTGAGATTATTGCTATAATTTGTGGGTGTTGACCTACTTTCTGGTTTGCTTAAGTTTTCAATACAGGATATGCGACGTCTTATTTTTCCTTTTCCCTTTCCATCCCTGAAAGGATGGTGTGAGTGGCATTTATTATGTATAGGCACACAATTATCATTATTCTTTTGGCTTTCTATGGGGCTTATGGCAAACTGATTATCTTGGTTCTTGCTATCATTATTTTTTTCTTCTCTTTCTCCCAGAGATGGATCATTTCCTGAAGGACTTCTTGAAAACTCTGTAGTAGAAGGAATAGCCAGAGCATCATGGAAAGAATTATTCAACAGTGAGGACTCTTGTAGTACACCTAATGATGGATCTAACAGATTACATGAGACATTGTGGCTGGCAGTAGATTTGCTACAGTTGATAGAATGGGTCATTGTACATTGTTCTCCATCAGTATCTAAAATAACAGGTTTTTCCAGAGACTGTAGGTTTTGATTATCAGTAGATTCAGCATTCCAATGGTTATTTTTAATAATACTTGAAATATCTTCGTTATTTACTGTTAATTCCTGGTGACAACCTTGATTCGGGTTAGGGAATGGTGCTATTCTGCATTCCTGAAGAAAAGGAGTAGATGTTGCTGAAACAAATTTTCTAGTCCCAGAAAAACTCTTTTCTTTTTTAAGTTCATCAGCTTTATCTCTGTGTGATATGTAGATTTTGTAGCTATCTTTCCTGGGAAGGATTCTGGATGACTTTTTTGAACTTACTGTGGTAGATGCATTAAAAACAGCCAGATTGTTCTCAGCTGAGTCCTGGGAAAGGGGATTTTGAAAATCAGGTAAGGGAGTAGAGATCACTGGATGTAAAACAGGCTGTGGTGTTTCACCTGTCAAGTTTGTCTGGTCCATCTTGTTTAGATGTTTGTACTTTGCTGAAATAGAGTCATTCAAATCTTTCTCCTTATTCTCTTCTGTGACCAAGATACTGGGTTTATTTTCAGCAAGAGGTAGAGTATCAATCAAATCACTGTTGGTTACAATGACTTCTGTATGGCTTCTTATTGGAAAGCAGGCAGGTTTATTGGGAATAATTTCCTGCAAAGAGACTGTGGGATCCTGAGAACTGGAAATGTGAGGATTCTCTTTGTCATTATGAATCTGGGGAAAGGAAGTTTTGAATGAGGATGCTAAAGGCTGAGCAATTTCAAATGAGTAATCTTCTTTGTTCAAATGTACTTCTCTAGGAGAACTGTCCTGTTGACATTCCAACCCATCAGATTTGATATGATAATTTGAATCAGTCATGGGGCAAACAAACGGTGTCCTGAAATGAGGAGTCAACTGGTTCCCATTGCCTTGTGACTCTTCCATGCTCTCCAGTGTGGATGACTGAAAATCAAACTGCCAGGGATATGGTTCTTCTTGGTCTCTAGAAATATTTGGTCCATATCCAGGAGAAAATGACCCCCAGTGTTCAGAAGGGACACTATAGCCATGAGCAGCTGATGCATTATTTGCGTCTATGAAAATCATTTCAAAGTCTTTGTTAGAAGAAGTGAATGATTTCCTGTTTTGATAAAAGTCAGACCTGGAAAAATGATCTTCTTGTTGGCCCCCAAAAGGACTTTGTCCAAATCTCTGTTCTCTTCTTTGTCCAAAAGTATTGCTAAAGAAAGACCTAGTGAATGGGTTGTCTTGATGGTAGAATGGCATATTCTCTGAGTTCTCAAATGGCTCAGGCCTCATTGCATTGTCCATGGGGGCATTTAGACTAACACTTTGGTAAGCACTCTGTGAACGATAAAATCCATATCTCCTATTCTCCTGAAAACACCTGGGGTACCTATATTGATCAACAGGGTCAATTTCCATAGGTGATGGTGTCCTCAGGAACTCTTCCTGGTTCTGCCCATCTCTCAAAGAATCTGATCTATTCCATATGATGGATGATAAGGGAGTTCTCTTTGGGCTCTGCTCATAGCTGTGTGGTCTAAACCCATTTTTATTCTGAATTGTGGCTGGAAAGTGTAAGCTTCTTGCTGTGAAATGCCCTGGGGCTGGTGAGGCCAAGTGTTGCCTGCTGTCAAAACACAGAGAAGAACTACCCAAAGTATTCTTTTGAACATAATCTTCTTTTAGGACTCTAGGCTCCCTTGTCCTATACATATCATAAATTGTTCTTGTTCTAGGAGAAAAGGTCTTAAAAGTTTCCCGAGGTGCTCCTGGTCTTAGGATGTCATAGATAGACATATTGGAAGTTTCATTATAGCGATTTTTGTGTCTTCCTGAAATATTACCAGGTCTGTTCCCACTGGAGTGAAAATGACTGAACTGTGTTCTTGATTCATTGTTGAAGGGTGTTCTGATATTCACTGAGCTTGAAGATTGTTCCTCAGCCAGTTTGCTATCCAAATCATCTAAAACTAAAGAGAGAACATGAGTCAATTTTTTTTTGTCTAAGATTTTTATAGTCTAATGATAATTTGAATTGTTGAGGGATCTTCTTCAGGAAACATAAGTCATTCATAATTTTACTTACATCATACTATTGCAAACGTGAATGCATTAATATTTATTATGTTTTTAAGACAGCTTGATTTTAACAAGACTGATATGGGAGTTGCTAGATCACAATTCTTTAAACAAAATAAACCTTCAATACTACCTTAAGGACATAAAGTCTAATTTTCTTACAATTTTAATCATGGTTTCTTTTCGTGCATCTGTAGTATACTAAGTTTTTGTAAGACATGGATCTAGAAATAAGAGGAAATTAATAACATAGATTCCAGTACTAGTTCTCACATTGAATAACTATGCAATGATTGGTATTATTAAGCCATGTCCTTCTGTTTCTTTCAGGTTACTAGGTTGCCATAATATTTCCACCTGTGTTTACCTCACGAGATAGTAATGGAAATGAGAGTCTGAAATAGTATGCGACTTCTCACTTGTATTGTTAAGAAAACAGTATGTCATCCCAGCATTAACAATGAAGGATTAACACCTAATTTATAAATATATTTGGCTACTAGATTGGAGATATACATAAAATTAAAAGTTCTATACAACACAATGGGAGCTCTGGTAGCGTAGTGCCTAAAGCACTTGACTGCTAACCAGAGGGCTGGCAGTTCAAACTCACTAACCACTCCTCGGAAAGAAGATGGGGCAATCTACTTCTGTAGTGATACTGCCTCGGAAACCCACAGAGGGGTCGCTATGAGTCCGGGCTGATTCGATGGCAAATAACAACAACAACAACAACAATACAACACAGTTACATGATATGCTAATGATAGCACTTTTTATGTGTCAGACACTTAATACATGAAATCATTAGCTTACATATCATGTAAGGTTGGTACTGATATTATTTTCATTTTATCAATAAATTGAGGCATGAAGAGAATCAGTAAGTTGTCAAAGTCACACAGTTATTAAGTGGCAAAGCTGGAATTTGAACCCAGGTCTATCTCCTGTGTCCAGGCACTCAACCCTTATGCACAGTAACTTCTGTGCTATACAAGCTTGTTTTTCACTTTCTGCTTTTTTTTTTTTTGGACCTATAAAGATGATTTCACTACACACTTGCTTATATGTTTGCAAGGTTGTGAAATTGCTGTTGTTAAACAATGTTTACTTTTCTTTGCGTACCAACATCAGAAGATGGTGTCCAAATTAGGGCCTAGTGACCTCCTTATAATACTGAGGACTTGGGCCAAGTCAAGGCCCAGGGCTCATGCTTACTGGGGCCATAGTCTCTGACCCTAAAGAAGTCACAGCATGTTTTCAGTGACATGGTTGGTATTTTTGTGAATTATGTTTATCTAATTATATTTGAGGGAGCTCTGGTAGCATAGTGGCTAAGGCACTTGACTGCTAACCAGAAGGCTGGCAGTTCAAACCCACCAGCAACTCCTCGGAAGGAAGGTTGGGCAATCCTACTTCTGTAGTGATACTGCCTCGGAAACCCAAGGAGGGGTCGCTATGAGTTGGGTCTGACTCCACGGCACATAACAACAACACAATTATATTTGACATCTTTTCTTAAAGAAAAACCTTTTTGAATTTAAAGAAAACAATAATCTTTCAGGAATTTTCACAGCTCTGGTGGTGTGGTGCCTAAGGCATTTGACTGCTAACCAGAAACTGACAGTTCAAACCTGCCAGCCACTCCTTGGAAGGAAGATTGGGCAATCTATTTCTGTAGTGATACTGCCTCGGAAACCCAAGGAGGGGTCGCTATGAGTTGGGTCTGACTCGACGACAGTGAGTTTTTTTTTTTTTTTTTTAAAAGCCCAACTAAGGAGCTCTGGTAGCACAGTGCCTAAGGCATTTGATTGCTAAGCAGAAGGTTGGTGGTTCAAACCCAAATGACACTCCATGGAGGCAAGACTGGGCAATCTACTTTCGTAAAGATTTACCTCCTCAGGAACACAATCGGGTCGCTATCAGTCAGAATCTACTTGATGGCAGTGAGTTTGTTTGTTTGTTTTTAAGGCCCAACTTGTGATAAATATATTCTATGATATTCACGTTATAATGGATACAACCAGATTATTTGTTTATTGAAGAAATTTTCATTAATTAAAATAAAATGTAACACAGGTTATATGTGACACTAAATTGCCGAAGAACCTTTTGGTTTACAGAAATCTCTCCTTCAGAGTTACATAAAATGGTGTACTAACTGCCTCGGAAACCCAAGGAGGGGTCGCTAGGAGTCGGGGCCGACTCGATGGCAAATGACAACAACAACATCCTCAATTATTTAAAATTATTTGCAGTAAAAAAAAAAAAAATTTAACTCTTTAATGACAGGGAAAGTGAGTGTGACATATGGGTATCTGAGTGAATGTAAATAAGATGTACATGTGACAGGCCCAGGATATTAGGGCAGGTGTTTAAGGGGTCTTTGAGATCTGTTCTGTACCTTGTAAGTTGGTGCCATTAAGTCTGCACAGCCAACAGAACTAAACTTGAGCACTAAGGATTTGTAATTAAGGATTCTTCCAGGAAATGCTTTAATAAAAAAATCTTTATTTATCTTCAGTTCATAAAACAACTTATTACCTACATTCCCAACTAGAATAACCAAAAATATTGGGTAGGGCAAAAAGAAAACAAAGCAATGTAATGAATCCAAATCTGTCTTTTCAACAAATCATTATCACACCTCTTTGAAATCTGTTCTCCCTCTCAAGTTACTTATGGCTATTTTTTCTCTTCAATAGTCTTTTTTCTAATTATAAAGGCAATACATGCTCATAATAGAAAATACAGGAAATGTAATAATATAGGTAAAATAACATAGAAGCTTATCCAGACGTAACCACTATAAAGTCTCTAAAGCTGAGTTTTAAGCCGTTCAAGATCACTTTGAATCTACAATTAGCAGTGCTGTTTACTGATTACCTCTGGGGTCAAAAAATTCCTGCTCTGCTTCTTCTCTGTATTTTCAGAGCAGCCGAGCCATTTTTTTTCATACCATAAACAGTAGCCTTCCTCTTCAAATAAAACCTTTATTTTCGAAAAGAGGTTTTCCTCTTTTTTTTTTCCTCTAAAGTAAGTTCTCTGTGAGCACCCATCTTACCAAAGCAAGTCTGTAGGTTGACCATCCTGCTGAATGTCTCTCACTGACCAGCTCACATGTCTCTCACTAAAGGGTCCAGATGATGTCATTGCCTTTGCAAAAGGAACTAGTTCTTCAAGGTGAAGTTGGTCAATGACTTTAGGGTTAACTTTTCAAAAGGCAAGGCTTAATTTGACACATAAAGGTGAACTGTGCTTAGAAAATAAAAAAATACATGTATATGTGGTACTTTGGGTTTGTTTTAAATCTTTATCATTATATATTGTACAAGGTTAATTATTTAATGATAATTAGATTTTAACACAATGTGTTTAGAAGCAATAGAAGTCTGTTAAGAACCACAAATTTTATATGTTTCCAAAATATGTACTTCCTTTCTATCAAGGTTAAATATTAAACATTATTGCTAATTCATATACTTACTGGGCCTTGATCAGGGAACATTTACGAAGGTAATATTTAATCATGAGGTACTTTAAAACTGTGTTAGTAGCATATAACAGCATCTCCTTCAGATAAGGTAAACAAGAAGACTGGAAAAATAAAGTACAGGTATAGAGTTTCATATGGTTTGAGCATTTTAATATAAACTATCATTATTATTTGCTTCCTTTTACTACTGGGAGTTCCAAAGGCAATTTAATGCATAGACTTACCACGGAAAAACTCATTCTCTAGCAGAGAAGCATCCCACGGAGGCATGCCACTTCCCTCCCTCATGCCTGCTGGCTTGGGGACAAACGCAGTGTCAACTGGTTGATTTTCCAGTGGTGAACTGTATATTTTTGCCTGCTAATTTTAAAGTAGAAAACACAATATCATGTTTTAATATCTTCTACAGCCAGAATACTCACATGTTCCACAAAAATGTCCCAAGCTTAAGAGTCCAAGTTTAAAGACTGCAAATCAAAGTTCCTGACATTTGTTTGTCATCTTAGAATGTTTTATTTTGGCCATTTGCAACTGATCATCAATTTCATCACACCTACATTAATTCTTTTCATCGTGAATCTTCAGGCAAGACACTCAGCCTTTCTCAGTCAACATTCATACACAACACTGTATAAATCTTGAATTTCTGGCAGAAATTGTACTAGGCAAATCTGCGGCAAAAGACCTTTTTAAAGTGTTAAAGAGCAAAGATGTCACTAAGGTGTGCCTGACCCAAGCCAAGGTATTTTCAATCACCTCATATGCATGTGAAACTGGACAACGAATAAAGAAGACTGAAAAGAACTGATGTCTTTGAATTGTGGTGTTAGAGAAAAAAAATTGACCATGGACTGCCAGAAGAACAAACAAATCTGTCCTGGAAGAAGTGCAACCAGAATGCTCCTTAGAAGTGAGAATGGCCAGTCTTTGTCTTACCTACTGTGGTAATGTTGTTAGAAGGGGCCAGTCCTTGGTGAAGGGTATCATGCCTGGTCAAGTAGAAGGTCAATGAAAAAGAGGAAGACCCTCAATGAGATAGATTGTCATAGTGGCTGCAGTGATGGGCTCAAGCACAGCAAGGATTGTGAGGATGGTGCAGGACTGGGCAGTGTTTCGTTCTGCTGTACATAGGGTCACTATGAATTGGAGTCGAATCAAAGGCATCTAACAACAACCTAACAAACATACAAATCTTGGGGTGGGGGAATGTTCTTAGAAAACAGGAACAAAACAACCTCTCTGGAGTTGGGAGTATTGTTGTCATGGCCCCAATGGCTGAGACTTTGGATTTCCTAACACTGTACCTGTTCTAACTAACTAGTTAACTAACTCACTGCCGTGGAGTCAGACTCAGCTCATAGCGACCCCTCCTTGGGTTTCTGAGACTGTATCACTACAGAAGTACATAGCCCAATCTTCCTTCCGAGGAGTGGTTGGTGGGTTTGACCTGCCAGCCTTCTGATTAGCAGTCAAATGCCTTAGGCACTACCAAGGGCTTATTAGCTGTAAGTTTGCAGTGGATCTTAAGACTTGTGGACTTGATGGATTTAGAAAAAAAGTGTTTCTATCCACAGAGTTCATCTAGAATGGTGGAAACATCCTGCTCCACCACCAGTCATAAAGAGCTGATTAATAGTTCTGAAACAAAAGCATTGAAAAGTATGACTTTATAACCTTAAAAAACAAAAACAAAAAAGGCATTGCTAGTTTTAAGGGATTTGGGAGAATATAGAGCTAAAGTTTTTCTCCATTCTTTACTGGTGCTGTTGTTATGTGCCATCAAGTAGGACCCGACTCATAGTGACCCCTCCTTGGGTTTCCAAGGCAGTATCACTACTGAAAGTAGATTGCCCCATCTTCCTTCCGAGGAGTGGCTGGTGGGTTTGAGGAGTGGCTGGTGGGTTTGAACCACCAGCCTTCTGGTTAGCAGTCAAGTGCCTTAGGCACTAAGCTACCAGAGCTCCTCCATTCTTTACTAGCATATGTTTATCTTGATTTCATCAAACCCAATCACTGCCCTACTTTCAAGTTTAATTTGTCTTTATATCCTTGGGGGAATTGTGTATGTAATTCCACACCTTCAATTTCCATTGCCAAGACTCCATTTGCATTTCCTCTGTCAAACTGGCTCTGTGGCCTTCGAGACTCCACTTTAACTCATCCTGCACCCGTCCCTGAACAAGACTGGCGGCCACTTCCCAGTTCAGTCTCTTTATTTTTAGCTCACTCCTACCCTGCCTTAGCCTCTCGAAACCCAAGAGCCCTTAACTGTCTTCCCAATTTTTCCCACTCCACTTGATTTTCTTGATGTTCACCATTGTACTTCATCTGACCTTTAATGCCTAAAAACCAAATGTCTAATCTTTCCATAACTCCCATCTTTATTTCTCCATCATGTATCCTTCTGATTCTAAAGTCCAGATTCTCTTAGCCACAACATTCCTCACAATCTAGTATTTTCATTCTTGCCTGTTTTCTTTCCTAGCATATAGGTCAGTTCTTTCTTTTCTTAAAAAAATTTAATTTTGTTGTTGTTGAGAACTCACACAGCAAAACATACACCAATTCAACAGTTTCTACATGTACAATTTAGTGACATTGATTACATTCTTTGACTTGGGCAACTATTCTCACCCTTTTCTGAGATATTCTTCCTCCATTAACATAAACTCACAGCTCCCTAAGTTTCCTATCTAATCTTGCAAGTTCCTGTTGTCAGTTTGACCCCACATACATAGATCTTGAAAGAGCATGATGCTCAAGGCAGACTTCTTTGCTAGGTAAGCTAAACTATTGTTTGCTTTTAAGAAGCCATCAGGGGATATTTTGGTATACTGTTTAAAGATTCTCTCAGGGCAGTATTTTCAGGGGTTCATCTACTTTCCATGGCTCCAGGAAGTCTAGAGTCCATGAGAACTTGAAATTCTGTTCTGTACTTTCCCCTTTTGATCAGGATTCTTCTATAGGTCAGTTACTTCTTACAATGTCCTGCTAAAATTTCTTTGACTTGTGATTTTTTAGTTTTATGGACCAATCATAATTGAATATTCACAAAGGAGATTTATTAATAAGAAAGAAAAACCCCAATAATGATTCATTGGTCATTGGATAAAATTTAACACACTAATATAAAATTCAGAGGTTAACAGACATTATAGGCAAAACATAAGTACAGTGAACTACAACTGTTGTTGTTGTTGTTATGTACCGTCAAGTTGGACCCAACTCATGGCGACCCCTCCTTGGGTTTCTGAGGCAGTATCACTACGGAAGTAGATTGCCCAACCTTCCTTCTGAGGAGTGGCTGGTGGGTTTGAACCACCAGCCTTCTAGTTAGCAGTCAAGTGCCTTAGGCACTATGCTACCAGAGCTACCGAACTACCAACTAGATGTAGTAAAAACATTAATCATTGGAGAAACCAGATCAGCTGATGTTAAATTCTTTTCACTCTGAAATGAATCAAGGGGTTCTCTTTTGTACTCTGACTCTGTTCAGACCTTTGTTCGTGCTAATAGCAATTATCATGGATTTTATACAGCTATCTTTCCAAATCTGCAGTTTTGGTAGTGAGTGCTGAGTAGATACATCTGATGAAGAGATTATTAAGCATCATTGTTTCAACCATTTTAAGACCCAAACTGTGGAAGGCTTATGTGAAGAGATGAATCTCTCTAAGCTGGGAAGGATTACTCCCATCTAGAGATGATGAATGTAACATGCTTTAGTTGTATTTCTGCCCAGATTTTCTTCTATAAAACCAACTCTGCTCATCCAACATATTAAGAATGCTTACAACATGTAAATTGGATGGATAACCAAGACAAAATATTGAAAGTTTATTTACACTCAACTTTTACCCTGAAAGGATAATTTTTCGAATGATAAAACTATTTAAAAAGTAACTGCTAGTCAATGGTCAAACCAAAACTAAACTCACTGTCGTGGAGTCGGTCCAACTCATAGCGACCCCTCCTTGGGTTTCCAAGGCAGTAACACTACGGGAGTAGATTGCCCAACCTTCCTTCCGAGGAGTGGCTGGTGGGTGGTAGGTATCAATATAAAGAAGATTGGGCACAACCATTGTTCTACAAACCTCTAACTTTTATTTCAGTTATATGTGAGATGCTATTATTATTAGCAGCAGTAATAAACACTGATTACTCTAGGCTATGTGCTAAAGAGTTTATTGCATTATTTCATTTCATTATGGGGTTGGTATACTATTTTCTCCATTTTGCACTTGAGAAAACTGAAGTTTCAACAGGTCAGGTCATGTGCTTCAGGTCACAGTGGTGGAGGGAAATAATTCAGTCCCAGTCTGTCGGATTCTAGAGCCCATGCTGAATCACCTCACTCTACTTTTGATCTAGTTTTGCAGATGTTGGTTTATTACACATTATATCCTAGCAGTGGGCGTCCTCTGAGGCCAAATATGAGTCTTAAAGTTGCATCTGAAGTTTCCCATCACCTGAAGCAGAGATAAATCTCTCTAGGACTCAGGGCTCAGTCTTGAATTCAAAATCTCTCTCAAAACATGCTCTGTGCTGTGAAGTTGTCATGTAAGATGAAGTCTATTACCCCTCCTCGGCATAGAGGATGAGATACAAAGAGCGCTATGGAGCAAAATCTGTTAAAATCATCTTCTAACTTTTGACTTTGGGCTTTTTTTCCCTACTCTCTTCAGGTGTTCCAATTTCACTGCACACAGTTCCAAAACATACCATGCACTTCTGGGCCTTCATGTCTCTGCTGTTGCTCTTTGTTCTCTCTTCTCCTGGAAAATATTGACTCTTCCTTCAGAGCACAGTTTATGTATCTTGTCTCTGTGAGGCCTTCTCCAGATCTCCCAGGCAAAATTAATTCCTATAGTATTTTTTTTCCTTATTTTAAAGATTATGGTACAAAATATAATAAAATATCTGCTAATTCAATATTTTATACATGTACAAGTCAGTGACATTGATTACATTGATCATGTTACGCAACTATTACCACTAATCTTTTCCAAATTATTCTACCAGCATTAACAGAAATTCAGGGCCCTTTAAGCAATGACTCCTCCACTCCTCCCTTCCACCCTTGGTTACCACTAACAAACTTTCATTTCTATACATTTGCCTATTTTGTATATGTGGGATCATACAGTATTCGTTCTTTTGCAACTGACTTATTTCACTCAACATGTTTTTGAGGGTTCATGCATGTTGTAGCATGTATCAGGACTTCATTTCTCTTTATAGCTGAGTCATATTCCATTGTACATAAAGTATCACATTTTTATTGGGTACAGGTTTCTGTTTATGTTCCTGCTTTCGATTTCTTTGGGTATATACATAGGATTGGGTCATATGGTAGTTCTATGTTCAACTTTTGGAGACCACCAAACTGCTTTCCATAGCAGCTCTACCTTTGCACTCTTACCAGCAATGCATGGGTGGTAGTTTCAATTTCTCTGCATCCTCACAAACACCCGTTATGTTCCCTTTTTTTTTTTTTTTTTGAGCATTCTAATGAGGGTAAGGTGATATATCATTGTGGTTTTAAATTTTATAGGATATTGCACCTATTATGGGTCATATTAAAGTTGTTTACATTATTTCCCCTCTACTTTACCACTAGACTTTCCTCCTTCCTTCTACAAATTTTAATTCCCACTCTGTTCTAGGTACTGAGCTAGGTACCAAGAATTCAAAAGTAAGTTAATCAGGACCCTGGAAGAGGACCAACCTCTAAAATGACTAAGAAAGTATTCTACCTTGGATCCCGAGCACCTAGTTTGATCTCTACCATAGAGGAGCTTAATATTGACTGCACTCAATTCCAAGATTGCTCTTCCTACAATAACATCTCCCTCTTCTGAGTTTCTCTAATACAGTTTTGAACACTCATTTGGTACTGAATATCTTACATTTGAACACAATTATTCATGTATTCAGTATTCTCTTTCATATACTTTTCATTGGATCCTTACAAAATATTTGTGAATTAACTAGTGATTTTATTCCCATTATACAGATGAGAAAACTGAGTCTCAGATAAATGCTTTATTCAATTCACATGAATGATAAATACTGGCACTGAATACTCAACAGTCATATGATCTAGGCCCTAACCCTGTTATCTTCACTATATTCTTTGTCCTATCACTTTACTAATATCCCTATCTTTTCCAGTTAGATGGTACACTATCTGAAAAGAACTTTGCTTTAAACATCCCAAGCCCTCCATTGCATGTAGTGTGATACTTTGCACATAATTACAGATTTATTTGTAATATACCACGGAAGAAAACAACATACATGAGATTTATAGTAAAGATTATTATAAGGACTAAGAATCACTGGAAATATACAATATTAGGACTCAAACAGGATGGTATAATGATTAAGTACATGAGTTCTAAACAGGCTCAAATCCTGGCGCTCTCCCTTGACAGGTGTTTGACTTCAGATAACTTACTTAGCCTCTTTGTGCTTAAGTTTCTTTCTCTGTTAGATTAGAAATAATATTTATGCATTCTTCATAAGATTGCTGTCTGGATTAAATTAATTAATAGATGTAAAGCATCTTAGAATGGTGTTTATAACTAAGTCCTAACTGTTAGTTATTACTATGCTTTTGTGGTTCTAGAGAATTTCCTGGAGGACTTCTGCTGATGCTTGTAGCCCAATGAGTTCCAATGAGTTGGAAAGCTGTTCCACAGGATTAGAGGCCAGAGTCTCAAAATGGTGGCTTTCAGGATCTCAGTTACTATCTCATACATAGTACATAAAATAGGCTGAGCAAAATGAGGCCTTTTAAACAACACTAATTCACTTTACTCATATTGTCTGCAATTCTGACATGACTGGACAAACAAACCTTCTGGCATACAGTAACCTCAGGAGATTTGAGAATTTCCTAGGCAGCCAAATCTGCGGAACAGCTATCAAAGTTTGAGCCTAAGCTCGTCGATGTTACCAACTGCCTTGGTAAAGTCAACAGATTAATTTTTCAGGATGTTTCTATTTGTTCTATGTCTGCTTTCCCACAAAGATCACATCTACCAAACCACTTTGTGACTTAAAACCACTCATTCATTTCTTCTTTCAATTACTGAGGGCTTAGTGTATCCTAGGCAGTGGGGACACACAGGTGACAGTTCTTGCTTCAGGGAGCTCACACTAGCCCAGATGATAAGCCAATGTGGTAAGTGCCACATTGGAGGTGTGCTTCCAAGGACATGGTCTAACAGTAGGCTTGGCCAACATTTGTTCAGAGATGAGGAGTAATCAAGTGGCCAAAGCCATATGTTTTGTCTCTATTCTGAAAGATGGAATCTCCACTGACTTTGGCCCTGTAAGGAGATGGTTCTCAATGGGGGACATCTAGCAATGACTGGAGACATTTTTGATCATCACAACTGGGTGTGGGAGAGCGTCTGGGATCTACTAAGTAGAACCTAGGGATGGTGCTAAACATCTTACAATGTACAGGCTAACCCCCACAACAAAGACTTATCTGGCCCCAAATGTCATTATTGTACAAGTTGAATGAGTCTAGATAGAGGATCTCTAAATTTCCTTATAGCCAGACTTTGTCTCACCTAGTTTGGTCATGTTGTCCAAAGGGACTAGTCCCTGGAGAAGGATATCATATTTGGTAAAGTGGAGGGTCAATGGAAAAGGGGAAGGCCCTCAACAAGATGGATGGATACAGTGGCTGCAACAATAGGCTCAGATGTAGCAAGTGTTGTGAGGCTGGCACAGGACCAGGCAGTGTTTCATTCTGTTGTACATAGGAGTCACTATGAGTTGCAGCCAACTTGACAGCACCTAACAATAACAATAACAATGAATTTCTTTATAGCTCTAAAAGTTCTATGTCTTCTGAAATCCTTTGCATTGTTTAAAGCTTATACAAATATTTACATAGCAGCTTTCTTCTTTACTGAGTGGAAGGTGGTACAATGTGGTACAATCTGTACAACAATGTGGTACAACCTCCCATAAGGTGCTAGAATTCCCTTTATACCATTCCTGCCAGGCTGCTGGTCACACAACAGGAAATTCATTACCTCAAATCTTGGCAAGAAACTCCATGGCATTAATGATCAACTTCTAGATCTTAGCAGACTAAGAAGATAGAATTTCTGTGATTAGTGGAAATCTACTTGTCATATCTTGTTTCAGAAGTAATTTCATTATTTTCTCTCTCCTTCTTATAACAACTATTAACTGGAAGCAAAAATCACTGGCTTGGGTCTCACTTTCATTTTTCCAGCTCCCACCTTTTGGATATAGACATGGTTAAATGCACTCAGCAAATCTGGAGTGTCAAAGAAAGATAGCTATTAACACTTACACTGGATTTTCAATTCCTGAAAACTCCAATTATTGTTGTTGTTGTTGTTTGCCACTGAGTCGGCCCCGACTCATAGCGACCCCTCCTTGGGTTTCCGAGGCAGTGTCACTACAGAAGTAGGAATGCCCAACCTTCCTTCCAAGGAGTGGCTGGTGGGTTTGAACCACCAGCCTTCTGGTTAGCAGTCAAGTGCCTTAGCCACTATGCTACCAGAGCTCTGCAAGTTTCTATTTCTTTTTACATTCTCCATCTGTTTCAGGCTTTGTGGTTCTCCAAACGCTTTGGTTAGCTCCAAACACTTTGGTTAGATCCAAACACTTCTCCAGGGAAAAGAGAACAGAAGCATCTTGGAGCAAGCCTCTGTCCTACTTAGCAAAAAGCTGCATGCAGAGAGCATGTCACTTCAATTCACCCTCAATTAAAGGGAAGAGTCTCTTCTGTACAGGTAATGAGCAACTGTGGTCCATGTGCAAACAGGATTTCAGGGTTGTAGGCATTATTGACTTCTGGATGTGGACTCATAGAGACCTAGGTTTTCTTTTATTTTTTTTATTGTGATTTGGGTAAAGATTTACAGAGCAAAGTCACTTTCCATACAGCAGTTCACATATACTTTGTCTCATGTCCTTGACCACAGTTTACCACAATGCAACAGCTCCCCTACCATTTTCTCCCCATAGTTACCTCTTTCCAGTGTCCATCCCTCCATACACTCCTGCCCCCTGAGCTGAGAGACCTAGGTTTTCTTATCCTGACTCTACTATTTACCAGTGTGACCTGATGATGATCTTGAAGTTAACCTCAGTTTCTTCATCTTTAAAATGAAGATAATGACAGTACCTACTTCACAGATTTTCTGTCAGGACTAAATGAAATTATATATGTCAAGTCCCTGGATGATAGTAAATTCTCAATTAGAGTGTAGGAGTTGTTGGTGCAAGTGTCATTGTGGGAGATCGAATATATGTAGGAGAAAGAAAAGAATTAATGTTACTATCTAGAAAGAAGCAGTATTACTCTGAAGAAGAAAGAGGCTGACTTTTGTTTTTGAAGTAAAGCACTCCTTTCCAGAATGATAGCCAAAGATTTTTGTAAAAAAGAGAAAGGTGTGTACTGGTTACTAAAGCCATGATACACTGAGAAATTCCTCTTTCCTCCTACTCCACTCTTAAGTCCCTTCCAAAACTCTCTACCTTTTTGTCATCTCCAACCATAGGGGTTACACAGGAAGATATGGTAGATCAAGAGTTATGACCATGAAAAAGCAAGGAACAGAAAATTTATAGCTTCTCAGTGTTGCTAGCATATGGACACAGTGATAAATTTAAATTTACGTCTTTGGTGGAAGGTCATTTGGGGTCAATTTCCTTTCAGTCAAATGCTTCTCATCTATCAGTGGCTTCTTTGAATACAAAAGATAGTCATTCAGAAGGGGTCCAGCCCAGAACCACACTCCTAGCAAAAGTGGCAGCTGCTGCCTCTTGCCTTTTCCTTTTCTCAATCTTTTAGGGTTGTAAGGGAGTGACACATGGTAAAATATCAGCGATGTCACTGATGGCATGAGTGGAAACAAAATGGCCTCACTCCTTCCTGGCAGAGTCTCCTGTTTGAGCATTTCAGTACTAGAGCCAACAGGAAAACAACCACAATTGGGAAACTTAGGACTCTAGGAAAAATCTAAGTTTGCAAAGCTTGTAAGATTGTAAAGTAAATTTAAAACAGTCAAGGGGAATCCTATTTAAATAAGTAGCCAACCTGGGGTTACATAAAATTTGAATTCCATTACTAAGTAGCCCTTTAGTAATTTTATTTCTCTGGTTACTTACCCCAGCAGTTTCCCTTACAGACACAGGAGGTCCTGCAAATCCATCACATCTGTGGAAAGAATTTGAAATAATTTCTTGAAAGAAGGGCCTAACTTTTACTAGAAGGAAAATCAACAGCACATTTACCCTTATATCTTGATATCTTGAAATGATTTATTTTTAATGGTCTCTGTAGGAAGACATTTCTTGGTTAGTACATTGTTGTGGGGGGGAATAAAAAACTTTTTCCTATCCTTGCTTAGAAACATTTTTTTATATCTCTGCCATCTAGGTCCAAAAACCAAAAAATACAAACTCACGAGTAGGCAACAAAAATTTACTGCAGAAAAACATAACAAAAACAGTTAACGCTTGTTAAGTGTTTACTGTGAGTCAGGCACTTTTCTCATGTTCTCTCTGCATGTTACCCATTTAAGTAACTCACATAACCCTGTGAGGTAGGTACTATTACTACTCCTATTTTACAGATGAGAAGATGTAGGTACAAAGAAGTTAGAATATGCTGCCCAACGCACACAGTTAGAGGCTGAGCCAGAAGTTGGCCGTAGGCTGTCTAAATACAGAACCTTTCTTCTTAATCAGTTGGCACACTGAGTCTTCTTGCAAATGGAAAATACAATTTCTGTTCCTGTATATTTTTATCTTAAAGAGAGATTAAACCAGGAACAATATCAAGAATTCATAAGGAAATTCTTAAAAATAAAACCTTTAATACACTTCAAGGTGTTTAGTTTTATAAAGATGTCACATGTATTTTGAAACCATCTTGGAGGAGAACAATTCTGCTTTTACTAATCATATTGCTTCTTTTAGATTCAGTGAAAAGGCAAAAAACAAAACATAGGTCTAAGATTGAGATAGATTTTGGTTTGGTAGTGTAGTGCCTAAGACACTTGACTGCTAACTAGAAGCCTGGCAGTTCAAACCCACCAGCCACTCCTCAGAAGGAAGGTTGGACAATCTACTTCCATAGTGATACCGCCTCGGAAACCCAAGGAGGGGTCGCTATGAGTCGGGTCTGACTCGATGGCACATAACAACAACAACACAACAACATGCCAAGGGTTGCTCTGTTTGAATTACAGCACAGAATTACAGACCATAATGACCCAAAGCTCTGTATAAAATCAGGTCCTCTCCTCCATTAAGGGAACAGCCAAAGGAATCAAGAGTTAAACTAACTGGGACTTTGGGTCAGATCAGTCAACAGTGGTAAGGCATAGTTGTTCTTCATTCAAACTCATAGCTGCTTCATGATTCACGAAAGTTGAGCATAAAACCTGAGAGGTCAAACAATTTTATATTTTTAAAATGTCTCTATGTATTTTATAGTTTACCTCATGTGTTAAACAGAAATTGAAATCAATATCAGAAATAAACTCTACTAATATCTAGAGGGTAAATTCAGTTTTACTTTTTGTTCTTCCTTTCTGTACACCTTTATTGAGCCTGCATTTCTCATACATGCCAGGTACTATTTTGAGTGCTTTGGAGAAAACAAATATGACTGAGATAGGGGCTTGCTTCTTGTTGTTGAGTTGATTCCAACTCATGGTGACTCCATGTACGTCAGAGTAGAACTGTGCTCCATAGGGTTTCCAAAGGCTGACTTTTCAGAGCAGATCACCAAGACTTTCTTCCAAGATGCCTCTTTGAAATCCATCCATATCTCTACATCTCCCTGATTCTATCCTAATCAAGGCATTTATTACTCTAGCCCCTTATTTGTCTCTGTCTCCAGGTTTTGCCCCAATCTGACTCATTCTCTACACTTTAGCCAGAGTAATATGCATAAATTGAACATAACACTTAATATTTTAGTGATTCCCATTTGCTCTCAGGTTAAAGTCCAAATTCTTCTCCCCATTTTTAACCTCCCACGTGAGCTAATCCTGCACAATTTTCAGTCTCATATCTCACTTTCTTATAGCTCTTCCACCATAATGAATTTGTCTCATCTCTGAGTTTGTGCACATACTGCATCTTTGCCTGAAACACTTTCCTACCACCTCCTTGGCTGGCTAACTATCTCATCCTTAAAGAATCATAAATGTCATTTTCTCTGGGAGACCTAGTCTAGGGTATATACCCTATTGTATGTGCTCCCACATAAAGACTTTTCTTTCTCTGTTACCCTGTAGTTGTCCTCACAACACTAAAATCCACAAAGCCAAGGACTATGTCTGTTTTGTTTTACTCTATTCTTAAGGCCTGGCACAGGGCTCTATATGGAATTCCTTGAGCAGAGTTTGTTGCATAAATGCATGAATGGATTGATTCTCATCCTCATCACACCTGCTCTTTCTCCTAAAATCTCCACCATCATCTATCTAGTTTCCCAACTCAGAATGGAGAGTTCATTCCATTCCTCCTTCTTCATCACCCACCATACCTAATTACCAAGCTCTTATGGTTCTACACTCTGAATCTGGCACCAAAACTGCCCATTTTTTCCCCCCTCACTGCCTCTACCTTGATTTAGGCCACTACCATTTCAACAGTCTTACTTGGCCTCTGTGACTCTAGTTTTGCCCCCTCAAATTTATTTTTATGGTACCACTAGACAAAAATTTTTCAATCTCAGCACTATTAACATTTTGGGTTGGAGAACTCTTTTTTGTGGTAGTCTGATCTATGCATTGCAGTATGCTTAGCGGCATCTCTGGCCTCTACCCAGTAATTGTCAGTAGCACTTCCCCTGCGGCTGTGAAAATCAAAATGTGTTCAGACATTGCTAAGTATTTCTTGGAGGAAAATTGTCTGCAATTGGGAACCAGTGAGCTAAAGTAATCTTTTAAAATGAAAATTGGATTATGTTACTTGTCTGTTGAAAAACCATCAATGAAAAAAAAATATACCTAAGTATGTGTATACACACACATTAAAATACACCAAAATGTAAATGCTTATGTACATCAGGGGACTGTGGGTGATTTTTTTCTATTATGTATGTATAATAAGGAAAATAATGTTAATATCTTAAGACGTGACTAATGGCTGTAGTATTAAGTCCAAGTTCCTTAGCACTGCATTTCATATAAGGTACCCACGTTCTGAACTCTGCAAACCTCTCCCACCCCATCTCTTATCAGGCCTCACCTTATATAATTGAACCTCAATGACCTAGATGGGATTCCTGCTTTTTGCAGTCTCTGCACCTTTGCTTATAGCCTTCTTTATGTTTGGTGCCTAGCAAATTCCTCTTTGTCCTTCGAAGATTGGCTCTCATCTTCCACACAGGCTTCTTACTTCCCTAGTTTGAATTGGTGCTCTTCCAATATGTTCTCCTGGCAGGAATATCTTGCATCAACTACAGCATTTATCATACTGGACCACAATCATCAGTTTATTCAGCTGTTTTCTAGGTTGTAGCTAATCCATATTGTGTCCCTGTGTGGATTCTAAAAGGCACTTCTTCTTCAAGGTCCCTTTACTATTTGCTGGAAAATTATCATAATAAATATACAGATCTATGATGATCACGATGTGATTGGCATTTCCTAGGGTTCCATGGAGCACCCCACCCAACTGTATGCAGCAATTTGTTGTTCCCTAAAAGATAGTAAGGTCCTCTGGGGCAGAGACTTCTCCTTTATTTTCATGATGTTATCTCTAGCACTAAAAGTAGTATCTGATGCAGAATATCAAAACCAAACCAAACTCACTGCTATCGAGTTGGTTCTGATTCATAGCAATACTATAGGACAGAGTGGAACTGCCCCATAGAGTTTCCAAGGCTGTAAGTCTTTACAGAAATAGATTGTCTCACCTTCCTCCCCCAGAGCAGCTAGAAGGTTTGACCTGCCACCGTTTTGGTTAGCAGCTGAATGCCCTAACCACCGCACCACCAGAGTTCCTTGATGCAGAATAGGATTGAAAGAAAGCCTGATGAATCAAGGAAAGAGAAGCTATCACACTGGCTACTATCACCCATGCCAGGAATTTTAGAATCCTCCACAGTGGCAATAGTAAAGAGCTAAGCTGTAGTGGTTCCCACACCTGAAGGAACATTGTAATATCCTGTTGTTATGTGCCGTGGAGTCGGACTCAACTCATGGCGACCCCTCCTTAGGTTTCTAAGGCAATATCCTTCCTACTGACAAGTGGCTGGTGGGTTTGAACCGCAAGCCTTCTGGTTAGCAGTCAAGTGCCTTAGGCACTACGCTATTAGAGCTCCCTACAATATCCTAGAGAATTTTTTTTAAAAAAGGTGTAGTTCCCTGTGCCCTACTTCAGACTTTCTGAATCAGAATCTCAAGACTGGGACCAGGAAATATGTCATTATTTTAAAAGTTTCTGATAAGATTCTAATGATCCACTGGATCAATTGGGAACTACTGGCAACCTAGGAAGAAACTCAAAGTTTCCTCTTGTCTTGCTTCTCCCTAGTACCACCAACCCAAACCTACTGCCATTGAGGTGATGCTGACTCATAGTAGAAGAGGGTTGTAAATCTTTATCAAAGCAAACTGCCACATCTTTCTCCTGCAGAGTGGCTGGTGGGTTCAACCTGCTGACCTTTCAGTTGGCAGCTGAGCGCTTAAACAACTGTGCTACCAGGGCTTTTCCTACTCCCACCATAACCCAGCTATAGTTGAAATCATTGAAGGAACATTTCCAAAGAAAGATCTTGCCTACTCTGGCTTCTCCTTCAATAAAGATGTCTCTGATTCCTGTTTCTTCCACGTCAAGCATAAGCACCTGTAATGAATGGCATGGTGGCCCCCAAGAGATATTTCCACATGCTAATCCTCAGAACCTATGAATGTTACCTTATTTGGAGAAGGGTATTTGCAGATGTAACTAAGTTAAGGATCTTGAGATGAGATCATCGTGGGTTATATGGGTAGGCCCTATATCCAATGACAAATGTCTTTATAAGAGGGAGGCAGAGGGAAATTGCACACACAGAAGATGAGGAGGCATTGTGACCATGGAGGCAGAAATAGAAGTGATACAACCATGATCATGAATGCAGACAGCCACCCAAAGCTGGAAGAGGCAAGGATCAGATTTACCCCTAGAACCTTCAGCAGGAGTGTGGCTCTA